GACCGCGTCGCTTCAAAAGTGCAATTTGGCTTCTGTTACCAACCCCGTTTGGATTGGTCGCGAACGGATTTGTGTGTCACCCAGTTGAACGGGTGAGCGAAGATAAATCTTGCAATTTGTTTGGGTTGTGGTGGTGGTATTTTTGATTTTTTAACGAAATGATGAGAACATTTTAAGATGATTTAGGCTTATGTTAAAATTTCTATGCAGAGAAGGTGCTATGAAGTGGAGCACTTTTGGCGGTTTTATAGATTTTCTTTCGAATGAGCTGAAAGTAATTCACGGTGATGGTGGTATGCAGTTTTCAGCCGTGAATCTGATATCTTTTTCGGTGACCGCTATCTCAAATGAGAATAACTGTAAAACGGCTTGGTCATGAAACCATCATTAATGTATGTTTTGTTTCGGATCTTTCTGTTTTAACTGAATTGCGGAGAGATGATGCAAATTGCATTTTATTAGTGCTATTAATTTTATTCATTTCTCGTCTGCTTCGTTTCCGTCTGTTGAATGTTTTCGTCCCGTTTTAGATTGATGAAAATAAAACGGCAGGTGATTTAAAAACGATAGTTGCTTCTATATGGTGCTTTCCTGCCAGCATGATGAAGTTTTCTTTTTCTGGACAGTTGATGTCATGTATGTTATTGAGTTCATTTCTGTCTTTATGCATATTATGAGGTAAAATAATTGGGCACAATCCTGCTGTGCTACACCAAGCATTTTATTTGGGGAAACACCCCAATTTCCAACACCCATTATGAATGTGATTCAAACTGATAACCTTCGAAATATGAAGGTGATTGTGGAAAACAATGAAATAACTCCGCCGTCTTTCTTCACAGACCTTATTCAAGGTGATGAAGCCAAACTGAGGTCGCTTGGTATCAAGGAAGGTTCAGTACTCAAAGTGATTTTTCTACCAGTTGTTGATTTTCAATCGCCGATTGCGTCTGCGATACGGAATATTTTAGGGAGAGATTGCCCGACTGCTACACTCGCAACTTTTATTGTACATTTCAAATATGTGAGTTATTGAATAATCATTTCTCAGTGATAATTCCTTTTTTCTCGTCGTACTGCATTTGTTTTTCATCTTGAAATCTTGGTCAAAGAGTTTCTTTTGCGTTCACGAAAGCTCACCGAATGAATAATTTTAGCAGTCATGATGAAGGGTTATTTAAAAGTTCGTTTGTCGTTCAATATATTTTTTTCGCTCAGAATGATGCTGTTTTTTAATGAGAAGATATACTTTTAGATTCTTTCGAGGATCGTGAACGAAGATTTAAGTTTAGACGATTTGGAGAGATACGCCGAGGTAAGGAACAAATCAGCTGAGACGTCATCATTATCATCGATGTATTCATTAGATGAACATGTATCATCTTATTCAGTCGACGGCAGTACAATGGCGTATGCGACAGATAATAGTGCGTCTCGAGGTGAAGATTTGCAGGACTATTTCATGTACGCGGATGATTAAATTGATTATGCTTATTGAATATTGTCGTTGTCATCGAATTTTGTTATTGCTATCGCTATTCTCCATGGCATGCACCTAATCCTATAATTATGATTGCATCCATCACAAACGTCTTGTTGGGGCATAGGTCAGAATTAGCCTCAGTAGGGATAATATTAAGTTTGGCCGCAGGAGCTCAGTTTCTGGCATCTATGAATGATGTAGTATTATATGGCCAGAAGATGCGTGTATGACCGAAATAAACTGTTGAACAAACATGCCGAGGTGAGAAAAAATTGTTATACTATGATCACATAAGAATGCAGTACACAGTGATGATGATCGTTTATTTTTATTACTTATTGTGCAAGATTTAAATTCATATAATAATTGGAGACGTTTTATGAATTTAATAAAAAAAGTTTAACATGAGATCGAGTTAATGTGATATCAACGAATCAATCTTTTGCAAGCATCGCAATTAAGTGGTAAAATTGATTATAGCGATTATCCGTTTTATTCATCCTATCCGAAGCGAATGAACGATGCTTTACGCTTGTGTTGCTGTTGTTTTTGGAGAGAATCGAATCTTTTACCGAATCTTATGAATGATGCCTTCCGTTTTGCAAGCTGCATCGGTGTTGACACTGGATAATCATGTTGTTGTTGATCGTTGAAATATAGTGGTGGTTGTTCAAGATTAACTTCAATTGCTTCATTAAGTATGTGAGAGGATAATCTTCGGATTTCATAATCATTGCTGTTATCCAGCACCATCGTATCTGGTAGTTGGTTTGCAATGGATTTATCAGGTTGATGACGATTTGGATTATTCGAGTGGGAAGAGCTGTTTAGTGATAAAGCCAATTGAAGTGCATAACAATATGGATATTGATTATTCATTCGATTAAGACACCATCTCGGTAGCAGTCGATTGAAGGTGATTGCAGAAGATTCTGATGACGGCTGATCGACGATGGAATCCTGAATTTCATTTATCGTCATATGAATAACAAACTGACAAACATTCAAAATCACTGGTAGAGGAAGTCATCATTTTGCTCGCATTTAATGTTGGGAATTGAGGCAAATCTTCAAATATCTTTGGTATATGCAAATAAGATAAATGATATGAGACCTGAAAAGAAGAGTGATTCGTGAGAAGGATGATTAGTGCAACGGTAATTGAGATGAACGATGAAGATGTATCCATGAGGGTTTGATGTAGATTAACGAATAAAATGATGAGGGTATCGCAATTGCGATGGGATGTCACAATGGGCAGTGATGAGGATGATAGTTGATTGTGATAGTAAGTTGGAAATGTTAGAAGGCGTTTAAATGATCTAGATGGATAGGCACGATGAGATTGCAATTGAATATGGATCGCTTGAATGAATTTCGTTCAGCATATCGCTCATCACTTCTACATATAATTCCACTGAAACAATATTAGAAATCACAGTTCCACAAACAAATTGAATAGAATGATTCTGCTGTAGTGATTATTCATTCAAAATAGTGAGTAGTTGCTTTAGAACAAACAAATAAGTATGTGACTAACGAACTAACTAATAGTTGATGAATGTTGCAAGAAATTAAGTTACTTGATTGCAAAAAAAGAGTGAATCATTCAACAAAGAAGAAAAAATTTAATGAATGTTGATGATGTATGTTTGATAAAGGTCAATTGTATTTATAATATGTTTGGAAGAAGTTCGTCAATAAGAACTGAAAGAGGAGCATTTCATGAGACAACATCGACGTCAAAGCAGGTGCGTTGCCGTTTCGGTAGGTTTTGTTGATTCTGAAGGAATTATCAGAATAGTGTTGAAAACGAGAATGTTCATTATGATGGTAATGTTTTTTTAGCATGATTTGTGACGACTGATTCGAAATTTTATCACCATTTTCATAAAGGATTCGTTTTCTATCTAAGAGATAATGGTAGCACATACCTTTGTTTTCAGTTTCCCTTTCATCATTCTTATGAGGTTATCTATTTGATGGGTAAGTCACTTCTCCAGTGATAGCTCACAACTTATATGATACACATTAAAGTATGTAAAAAAATCTGTTCATACTTCGTTAATGTTGTTTTGACATCTAGGAGGTTCTAGGAGGTTTTGTTGTTGACGTTAGGAAAAGTGTTACCTGCAGGTTCTTTTTTTTTCTGGTGTTGAACAACTTAATGAACGAATTTATTCGATGAATGATAAAAGTAATATATTCGTGTAGCACATAAAACAGTGATAAGAGTGTCGTTCATTAATTCATAAATGGTTGATAAGCAACAGTTAAATGACATGAAAACAAAAAACGATGAACACAATATAGGGGCTTGTGTTCATGCACAAATAGACAGCTTTGTTTGTTAGTAATGAAAAAGTTTTTAACGGAAATGCAAATTTTTAAGAATTACAAGTTTCAAAATGAGAAAAATCAGTTTACAGATGAATGAATATGAAAAAATAAGAATAAGAAAAATTTCATCGATACAGGGTTTTTGGTTCGAATTTTAAAGAATTAAATTGCTTACAAGTGAATAAATCGAGAATGAAATTATCGAATCGAAGAAGAAGAGTGATAACGAACAAAGATTAGAAAAGGAAATATGTGTGTGTAAAACAAATATGAAGAAATTCATTCATTCATTTGTGACTGATTTGATAACCCATTCACCGGCCATAATCATGTCATAAGTGTGATGAAGCTAAAAATTCACTTCTAGCCATACTAATCCAACAGCCAATCCCACAAGCAGTATTTATTACAATCTTAGTCTAGCCATCGTATCGGTTGAACGCTCTCTGATTATGATTTTACGTTTCATTTCTCTGGCGACTCAGCAATGCAAAACCTAGGCTTGATGGTCTTCATTTTTTCTAACGACAAATACCGTCATAAACAAGGTGGAACTGCATTGTTTGGTAGAGTTAATTGTTAAAAATTATTACAGAATGAATATGAACACTAATCAGTGATCAAAGAATGAGCTTGGCGCAGTCTTCTTTCGGCACACAACCCAACGAGTGATCAGCACTCATAAAGATATGACCTTCTTTGCAAACACACTTCGGTGGACCACATCTCAACGAGTGACAGTGTCGAACCTGCAGTTCGTGTAATCTTCATTTCAGTGTCCAGTTCGAACGGGAAAAGAAAAAAATGGAAAACCATGTAAACAAAGGCACTCAATGAACAGAATATTGCTTGCATTTGCAGATTTATCAGTTGCGGATGCATATGATGCTGTCATTAGGATGTTGTTTCAGTATGATCATAACTACTACAGATAACAATATTATGATGATGTTATGGGAACAACGACTAAAATTAGAATTGCGTGAATAATTAAGTGAATACGTGATCCATTGTTGCACAGTGTGGATAGCCGCATAAATTAGAGCATTTTCGTAGTTCGCTATTTTCAGGACATTTGATTGTAGCTTTGGAGAGGCGACGAGAGGTATGACGTTTTTGTTTGATGGTTTCCGGCTTGCACTTAAGCGTTGCTTCCGGGCAACCATCGGGCATCCGTTCGATTTCATAATGGCAGCCAATGGGAGGGTCAGCATGTTCAATGGCTCCACACCGTAGACGTTTTTTTACGCATCTGCCATGAGCGCATATTTGACCTGAACCTGCAGCTAATCGTCACTCAATTTCCGCACACTCTTTGATTGACTCATTCCACATCGCACTTACTGAACTCTATTTTAACATTTTCATTTTTCTAAAACAAGAACATCTTCATACGAACATATTGAACTCTATTTTAACGTTAACCAATTCTTTCATTTTATAACCAGTAAGTACGATCCACAATATCTTCATACAAACACTAGACATGCGGCAATAAATTAATTCAATCCTTTTCGGTTACTTTTTAAAATAAAGCAAAAAATTAACCGTTGTCACAATCATGAACGCTGGTACACTTCATTTCTGCCTTCACCAATGCGATGATCACCTAAGATTGATGAAAAGTACTGAATTCAGATTCAGTCGCTCTTCCTCATAAAAATGATTACAACAAAAAACAGTTTAAGAAACGAATACTATTTCTTGTAGGTGAATAAATGTGAAATTTATTGACTATTAAATGAATTAAACGTTCTTAGCTAAATGGCAATATGCTAACACTTGTGCAACAAGCAGTAATACAGTGATATAACTGGTTATACGCTTCTTAAATAAGATACAACAAAAGCTTATAGAAGAGATATACCTTAATACAACTTTATAAGAACACTCATCTGGTTGGATGCATGAATGCGTGAAGAATCTTCATCAAAAGTGTATGAACAGCTGAATGTCCGTAAAAAAACTACATGTAAAAAGAACAAACCAAGAATGTAACGAATAGAATGCTGAGCTTGAAACGGTTCCACAGCAGCAACATTGTTGTTACCGAATGAAGCACTCAATGAACTGAACAATAATCGTTGCCTTATGACGATTTGTTTGTTGAGTGAATGATGGTAGAAGTGTTGATAAGTATTGTATATATTTCAATCGATGGAAGAAAACTTTAATCGCTGTTTAATGTTTCGAAATGAGTCAGTCAGTGATTGGCGTTTCAAAATTAAAAAGTACAAGTGACGGATTACTCATTTGCTTGTCTAGTGGAAAAGATTCACGAGAGCAAGTGGATAAGAATGATAAGTTACGGACGAATGTAAATTGTTGTTGTCGTTGTTATTGTTGTTATTATTGTTATCGCTATCACTATTGTTATCATTTACCATGTTCCGGTCTGTTGGATGGAGGGATGATAGACATTGTGCTCGCTCGCTTGCATTTACTTGCTCACTCGTATGTTGGCCATATGGCCATTTCCAGCCTCAACTGGCCTGATCTTGTCTAATTTTTCGACCATAATGCCACCAGGAATCACGAATGCACTGGTGTGCTGGCAGCAGTAGCAGCAGCCGCAGCATCACACCAATCTAACTAGCATTATTGTCAATTTGTTGACATCCATCACCTCATTGTACACGCCGCTCACTACAATATCATCATTATTGCTCCTCATCGTCGGGTTATTGTTTTAAACTATTGTATAATTTCTTGATACATTTATATCT